CTCCCTGAGGTGTTCAGGACCTTAACATGTCTGTTTCATTTTGCACAATTACACTACAGAGTCAGCAGCAATTCTGAAACGCCAACAGTTTTTAAGCAGCACTTTACATACTGCACTCAAGGTGTTTCTATTTCGTGAAGTGCAAGCACAACAGTTTTTAAAACAGTTCTACATACTGTTAGAAAACACTCTTTCCATGATTATTTAGATAAAAGACTATCTGGAGGACATACAATCTCAACTGTTTCACTCTGCTGCTGTGCAAACTTAGATGATAAGACCCCTTTGGTTAGATAGCTGGTTTAATTAGCTGTAGAAGGTGCAGTTGGCCTCAGTACATTATAAAATCACCTTACCAAACACATCTCCTTACATAATAACACTGATTGGGAAAGCTCTTCCACTAATTAAAAATTACTGCCTGACAGCTCAGAAGAACGTAGTACCAAATCAGGAAAAAAAATAAGGATTTGAAGGAAAAAATACCAGTGATGAAATGTTAAATGATAAAAAAACATCTACTTGTGAGCACAACCCACACAACAGGCTTTTAAATTTGTGGAGTAAGTGACTATTTATTTTTTACTAAAAGGAAAATGAGACAAAGTTTAATCATCTGTTGCTCCTGTTCCAGTATCGCAGGAACCACTGGAGGACGATGCTAACTCCTGTAAGCACCCAAAAAAAGGCAAAGTGGAAGGCATGTCCATCAGTCCTCAGACTGCACCCCCCATTAACTCCGCTGTGCAATCCTGAATGACTGGCTTCTTGCTGCGTAATGGCCTTGTGTTCCAGCAGACTAATGATGTGCCCCCTCTTCCTTCTTGTGTCTTCCAGGATTCTTGCACAGCGACAGCATGCAGGAACAGCTAACCAGGCATGCCCACCCTGCTCTGGGTCTGTATCCACTCCGACAGTGTGCATGCCCACCCTGCTCTGGGTCTGTGTCAGTGTCTGTGTCCACTCCGACGGTGTGCATGCCCACCCTGCTCTGGGTCTGTGTCAGTGTCTGTGTCCACTCCGCTGTTGATTACGCACAGAGATGACAAGCAGGGCCAGCACAAAGCTCCCTCCCGGGGCCTACTGTCCCTCGAGTTAGCCAATTGGGAAGGAAAAATTAAATCGATCGCAGGTCTTATTAAAACTGTTGCTTAGGAGGGTCAAAATAACCTCCTTTTCTCTGTAACCACAGGAACCCCATTTCTTTAGGTTCTTCAAACACTGAAGTGGCTCTCCTTGCAGTGCCCATTGACAGAATGATGGATTCAGAGCTGGTGTTAACACATGACAAGATTACCTAACGAGAACAGTTTAAAACTGGTTGGAAACGAGCACACAGCTGGAGTTTGCACTCCAAACAGAAGCAGTTTGTAATCATTACTTAGGTGAAGTCAAAAGGCAAGGCAGCTTATTCTCAAAGCAATTCCTTGATTACACAACTGCACAACATAAAGCTTAGAATATGAAGGAGAAAAGAGTATGTTTATGTGCTCATCACAGTAATAAGTGATTTTCTAACTAAAGAAGAACCTAAGGCAAGTTATAAATAAATACCTGGTTCTACAATTGCCATCACAAAAGGGTTCTTAGAAATTTGCTAAGTGTGTCAGACTTGGGCACGAGGATGGTAATGAAAAAAGCAAGTGCTCCAGCTTTCTTTAAAGTGTTTTCTTTCCCCACGGATTCGATGCTGTAAAGCAGGCTTGAAACTGTGTCAGTGAACGTGTGGGAGAGGTTTCAGATTTAACATGCTGTTGTGTTTCACCCAGTGCAACCTACTAAGAACATTCAGGCGCCCTCATAATACATATTCATATTGCTGATATTAAAACAAACAACACATTACACATGAGACCGGTATGTCTTAGGCACCTTCACTGTGCCTGTTTTTTTTTGCTGGAAAGCACTGCAGTGTATGTCAGAACTTTTAACAGATGTAGGATGAGGAAATAAAGAACAGAAACATTTTTTTACAGGAAACTAATTTAATGCCAGATGCACCGAGAAAACTGAGCTATTGGGCCAAGTTAGCTACTCCTGAAGCCCGCCTACCAGTACATCCATAGACGAATGACAATTTCCAAGCAAGACAGAGGGGCATTCTGAATTTCCTACTACACAGCTAACCTGGTGGTCAACAATTGGCTCTGAAAATACTGTTGTGAGGCATCCTGTCTTTTGCCCTGTGACAGACTTTTGTTCTGTCCGGGGTGTGGTCCTGTCTTGTGTCCTGTGATAGACTAGTGCCCTGTCCAGGGTTCGGTCCTTTCTTGCGTCCTGTGATGGACTGGTGTCAAGGGTATGGTCCTGCCTTGTGTCCTGTGATGGACTGGTGTCAAGAGTGTGGTCCTGTCTTGTGTCCTGTGATGGACTGGTGCCCTGTCCAGGGTTCAGTCCTTTCTTGTG